TTTGGGGAAGCTGGTGGGATTTTGGGAAGCTGGTGGGATTTAAAATTGCAGGGCAGGGATGCTGCTGCTCGGGACAAGGATTTTGGGGAATATGCTGGGATTCGGGGATACAAGGCCAGGGATGTTAATGCTCAGGGTGAGGATTTTGAGGAAGATGTTAGGATTTTGGGGAAGATGCTGGGTTTTGGAGATGGAGGGCACAGGGGTCTGGGCTCAGAGCAAAGATTTTGGGAAGATGCTGAGATATGAGGAAAATACTGGGATTTGGGGATACAGGGCCAGGTTGCTGATGCTGAGAGCAAGGATTTTCAGGAAGATGCTGGAATTTTGGTAAAGATGCTGGGATTTGGAAATGCAGGGCAAGGATGCTGTTGCGTGGGGCAAGGATTTTGGTGAATATGCTGGAATTTGGGGGAAGATACTGGGATTTTTGGATGCAGGGCAGGGGTGCTGATGCTCGGGGAAAGGTTTCAGGGAAGATTCTGGATTTGGGGAAGATGCTGGGATTTTGGGACGATGCTGGGATTTGGAGATGCAGGGCAGGGGTATCTGGGCTTAGAGGAAGGATTTTGGAAAGTTGCTGGGATTTTGGGACGATGCTGGGATTTGGGGATACAGGGCAAGGATACTGATGCTTGGGCCAAGGACTTTGGGAAGATGGTGGGATTTGGGGGAAAACAGTGGGATTTTGAGCTGCGGGGCAGGGATGTTGATGTTTGGGGGAAAGATTTTGGGAAAGATGTTGGGATTTTTTGGAAGATGCTGGGATTTGTGGATGCAGGCCAGGGATGTTAAATGCTCAGGGCAAGGATTTTGAGGAAGATGCTGGGATTTTGGGATGCTGGACTGATGCTGATTACTGGGGCAAGGATTTTGGGAAGATAGTTGGATTTTGGGTCAAGATGATGGGATTTTGGGATGCAGGGCATGGATACTGATGTTCATGCCAAGGATTTTAGGAAGATGCTGGGATTTGGGCATGCTGGGCAGGGGTGTTGATGCTGAGGGCAAGGATTTGGGGGAATATGCTGCAATTTGGGGGAAGATGCTGGGATTTGGAGATGCAGGGCAAGGATGATGATGCTTGAGGCAAGGATTTGGGGAAGATAGTTGGATTTGGGGCAAGATGCTGGGATTTGCAGATGCAGAGTAAGGGTAGAGATGCTTGGGGCAAGGATTTTGGGGAAGATGCTGGGATTTT